AGGAGAGCTGTGATTTACTGGAAATGTGATTTATGGGGAGAAAGCAGAGCAAAATCTCACCCTGCAGGGAGCCTCACCCCCATGGCCACACCTCCACCCAGCTATGGGAGAGCCCTGGTGTTCAGTGACTAATTAAAAACAAACCCCAACTTGACTGGGAGGCAGAGCAACCGCAAATTGTTAATTAAAAAGAGAGCTGCTGAGCCCCAGGATGTGTTCCTGTCCTGGTGGGGGTGGGATGCAGACAGGAGATGATGCTCTGGGGGTGCTGGAACCTGGTGGCTGATGTTGGGTTTGGGGCGCCAGGGGATCTGGAGTGAAAAAAAATAAAGAGGGGCACAAACCACTGTAAATTGTCTGCTCTAACTGGTCTGAAAACCCTGATAAATTGTCTTTCCTGCCTCAGCTGAGAGTCAGGGAGAAGCAGCAGCCCTGGGGAAGGCAGCCTGCAGCTGTTTTATCCAAATTTTGGAACGACCAGCAAAGCGCTAACTTTTCTCTCTGCCATGGCTTGGCACGCTCCTCTTCATTTTCAACCACCTGCTGACAATTGAAATTAAAAATCCAGAGGAAATGTCTGTTTTTGGGTTTGTTTGCTTGCTTGTTTTTAAACAAAACCAGATTTTTTATTAGGCCAAGAAATGAATTTGGAGGGAAAAAGGCAAGCAAACAAGAGAAGAAAGCAGAGCAGTTTTCTGTTCCACTAACCCCTCTCCAGCTCTGAAACAGATGCAGCAAATTTCACACCAGCTGCAGACTGGCAAACCAGTTGCTCTGAGTTTGAATTTATTATTATTATTATTATTATTGCTATTGCTCAAAGTGTTGAAGTGATGGGTGAGTACTGAGGTTAAAAACAAGGTGCTGTCCTTTATCTGCTGTGGAAAAAGGGAAGTGAGGACGCAGCCAAGCTATGGTGAGCAGGGAGTGACAGTCCCAGCAAGCTGTTCATGGAATCCTGGAATGGTTTGGGTTGGAAAGGACCTTAAAACCATCTCATTCCACCCCTGCCATGGCAGGGACACCTCCCACTGTCCCAGGCTGCTCCCAGCCCCAGTGTCCAGCCTGGCCTTGGGCACTGCCAGGGATCCAGGGATGGAATTCCATCCCAGCCCTGCCCACCCTGCCAGGGAACAATTCTTTACTCACATCTCACCCTCTAAGCCCTCTTTCAGCTTCAAGCCATTCCCCTTGTCCTGTCCTTGTGGAAAGTCCCTCTCCAGCCCCCTTTTAGGAACTGGGAGCTCCTATAGGGTTTCCCTTGCAGCAGTCCAGTCCAATCCCTTTGTTCTTCTGCTGACCGAGGAGGGAATTCCCTTCCCCTTGAGCTTTTTCCAACATAACCTCAGCAGTAAATGGCTTCAGACTAATTATTTTCTATCTCATTTTCTAATGAAGCCGCCACCCTGTGACCAGAATACTGAAAGGAAACACAGACACCCCTGATTTGGGTACGAAACCATGAAACTCCTGGCACATGAGCTCATGCAGGCAGATTTCACCTGGGTAATTCTTGTATTTGAGGGGTTCCCAGACAAAGGGAGGAATGCTGAATCTGACTCCATGTTCTCAGAAGGCTAATTTGTTATTCTATTCTATTCTATTCTATTCTATTCTATTCTATAATAAAATATGCTAAAGAATAGAGAAGGGATACTTACAGAAGGCTAAAAGAGAATAATGAAAACTCTTTCCAGAGTCCTGACACAGCTTGGCCCTGATTTGTCATCAAGTCAAAACAATTCACATGAAATCAATGAAACGACCACCAATTTATTTATTGTTTATGCACCAATTTATTGTTGGATAAACAATCTCCAAACACATTCCAACACAGCAAAACACTGGAGAAGCAAATGAGATAAGAATTGTTTTCCTTTTCTTCTGAGTCTTCTCAGCTTCCCAGGAGAAGAATCCTGGGCAAAGGGATTTTTCCAGAAAATATGACTGTGACAGGTAGTTTATACCAGGCAGTATCCAAAGAGGCAGAAATCAAGGGAAAACATGCTTTGGGGCAAAAACCTCACCCACCGTGAGCCCAGGCCTGGAATCAGCCAAAAAGAGGCAGCACCAGTCTCTGTGGGTGCCTTTTCCCTGGGAGCTGTGCCCCAGCAGCCAGAGCAGCTAGCTGGCCAAGGACCCGTTCCTAAAAAAGGAATTAAGTACTTAGGAAGGACTTAGGTAGGCCTGAGTTGACTAAGTGAAAAGCTATTCTGCAGAAAATCCCTGCCCAGCTCCTGTCTGGTGCTGGAATGTGTCCAGGTGTCTTCATCCCTGACCCTCACCCTGCTGGATGTCCAGGCATGCCACAAAACACCTCATGGATTAATTGATCTTGTGTCTGAGCAGGAAGAGCCAAAAAAATGAAAAACATGAGGCATTCCTTGGCTTGCCTTCAATCTTCTCCCAGCACATCCCCTGCTCTCCTTCTACACCTCCCTCCTGCTCCTCAAACCTGCCACTTGTGTTCCCAAATCTGGTCCTTGGAGGTGAAGCTGAGACTCTTCCTTGAGTCTGAGGCTTTGTTCCCACATTTCTGACTGCTAAGGAGCTGGGAAGATGGGGAGACCTTGCACTACATGAAGCTTTGCAAAGTTTGAAAGCACTGAAAACAGAGTTGTTGCTGCCTGTGGCAGGGGGTTGGAACGAGATGAACTTTAAGATCCCTTCCAACCCAAACTCTTCTGTGATTCCATGACTTTCTGATGTGATGGAGAAGTGAGGAATAGGTGGTGTGAACCTGCAGGGAGATTTTTGCTGAAAATAAAGCAATTATGCTGAAAATAAAATAATTATGCACTCAGCTACACATTTCTCTTGGGGTGGGGTAAGCACTCTTGGTTTGGAGTTTTTGATTCATGAAATGGGAAGGGGAGAGGAAAGGGATACAAAACAAAATGAAGGAAAACAGGATAGTGAGTGATACCCTTGGGGTAAAGAGAAATACCTCCAGGGAGGAGGAATGACAGGATTTAGCTGTTCCCCAAGGTAATCCTGGAAGGGGAGAGTGGAGGAATAGTGGCAGAGACTGCGCAACAGGACAGCAGTTGGTGTTAAGCTCTCTGAAAGTTTAGTCCTGGCTTTGTAGTGGCTGCTAAACTCAGCTGGGATGGGACATCACTCCTGTGTCAGCTCCTTCTCTGTGCTGAGGTGTTTGATGTTCCCACAACAGCCCCAGATGTGACTGGAAGTGGAAGTGCAGGGTATGAACTCAATAAGCAAAAATGCAACAATAAATGTCCCTTTCAGCCATGCAGAGCAGCTCTGGCTCTACCCAACTTCCCAGAAACAGAGAGGGCAAGATCCCAGGAGTCTGTTCAGACTTGTCTGTGCAGAAAGAGCCAGGGATGGTTTGCACAGCAAGAATGAGGAAAGGGTTTGTGGGTGGGAAGAGCATCACAGCACAGGCAGGTTCTAAATGCTTAACCGCGCTCTCCCAGTGTTTGAAAAGATTTTGGAGCAACAATGTGCCAGCCAGGGTGGCATTCTAAAGTATTTTGTACTGCCCTGCTGAAGAAAAGCCATTCATAAAAAAATAAAAAAGAAAGACAGGTTTCTGGGGAACCTTTCTCTCTCTTCTTTTTTTTTTTTTTTTTTTTTTTTTTTCTCCAGCTGAGCACAAAAAGGAGAGTCTTGTGATGTGGGGAGTTGATTAATTTCTTCCTGAAAGAACATTTTGGGATACTTGGCCAAGCCCCTGCTCATCCTCAGAGCCCAGGGCAAGGCAGGAGGGCAGGATTTTGGGAGGGTGGATGTTCCTTTGCAGTGTGTGAACTGCTCACACCCCTGCAGGATGTGCTTTTTCTCCCCTTGGAGGCCTTGGGAATCACTGGGAGCTTCTCCATTAATTTAATAAGCTTTGAGTCATCTTTTGCCTCCATTCTGCCTTCTTGGTTGTTTTTCTATTTCTTTACATCAGTGTAGCTCCAAAGGCTCCTCTGTGTAAATCCATAATTATTGCAAAGCCTTGCACCCTGTCCTGGGGAACGACAGCATTCCTGGACAAATCTCCCTCAGAAACAACACCCATGACACTTCTCCAGCTTTAACCCATCTTCCATGGCCAGCAGGTAGAGACAGATGGATTTGGGGTTTTGCTTCTTTACCACTGTTTTGTGAATGGTGTGAGTGATGTAAAACCCATCTCTGGCTTTAGCAGAGCACCCCTCAGCCCTCCCTGTGCTCCCCAGTATGTTTCCCTGCTTTCACTTTCTCCTGGTACTCAAACTGGGAAGAGTGACCATTCCCAGGGCTGCCCTGGGCTGATGGTGGCTCCACGGTGGCAGCTGCGGGCAAACTTTGGGAGCTGATTTTGACTTGAGGATGTATTTATGGTTCTCTTGCCTCAGTCTTTTTGTGAGAAAAGCCAGAAATGTGTACATTTACCTTTCCAAGCTTTTCTGTCACCACTCCCCAGTGGGTCCTAGCACTGAAGGGCTCCTTTTGGAGCCCAGTGTCCAGCTGTGTGGCTGTGCCAGAGGCAAAGCACCCTTCTCCAGCCTCTCCTTGCCTCCCTCCACTGCTGTGAATTCCAGAGCCATGGAGGAGGATTTTGCTGGCTGACAGCTGTACAGCATAACCTGGTGCACAGCCCAGGGGGAGGAGGACGTTCATGCTACGCGGAGCACTGAGAATTCAGGAGGCACTTTTGTAACCTACTGAACCACATCAGACCCAGGAAAGATCTGAAGATTATGCAGCCCTCCTCAATGTTTTCTTTCCTCACCCCCTGGCTTTTCATTTTCTCCTTGCCAAACCTGCTAATGGTTTTTTGTGTGCTGCTTGAAAAAACAGCTCAAGTTCTGCCCCCGTCTCGGAGTGGCAGCGAAGCATGCGTGAGGATTTGCTCCAGTGGCAAAGCCACATCTGATTGAGGGGAAAAAAATGAAAAAAAAAAAAAAAAAGAAAACAGCTGAGGCCCTTCGAACAAGTCATGCTCCTGTAGGCTTTTAATCACTTGTGTCTGCCAAGAGAGATCTTGCACAAGCAAAGCTGGCTCCATGCAAGAGGAACATTTTTGCATGTGTGCAGGCTGGCTCCCTGATAATGTGCTCCCTGGAAGCAGTGGCAGTGTGCTGCTTACACCCCTGGCTGCTGGAATTACCTTAAGGTCAAGGTATTCATGCTTGGTGGCTTGGTATGTAGCTCTGTGTTTTATTGGCTTTGCCTGCGCTGCACTTGGAGGCTCCTCTGGCTGCTCCAAAAGGGCTGGTGAGGAGAGGAGGTAATTCAAATTTAGAATGCTAGACAAGCCTGAGACAATTTCATTTTCTTCCCTCTTGACGTGTTTTACCTTAACTCTGCTTCAGCTCAGTTTTATTTGCAGCTCCACTTTGATTTACAGCAATTAAAAGTAATTTATCGGTGTAAAATCAGTGAGGGAACAGACAGAAGTTGTTCTTTTAATTTAAAAATGTATATTACTCTATTAAAATTAAAAATGTATATTACTCTATTATTTAAGCTTGCTTGCTCAAATTAACTCACTGTGGTAGATGTGCTTTATGATTTAGAGTGAGCACAAACCAAACAAACCAAAGTATTTTGTCTGGAGTTGATTTTCAGCGCAGAGAGTGTGAGGTGCTTCTATAAGATGGGAAATAATGCAGGCGTTATAATGTGGTTTTTTGCACACACAGACACCCATAAATAATTTATTTTGGGATATTATAGTGGTCACTTCACTCAGGAAGCAGTGGGGAAGTGGGGGCAGGAGAGAATCTTCATCTGAAGCCTTTTTTTTCTTTTTTCTCCTGGTGGTTTCATCAGAGTTTCTTCCCCCAAGTGATTACTGCTGGCTGCTGCCACTGATAAGGGAGGCAGCGTGACAGATCCTCTCTTCCCATGTCACTGTGGCAGAGAAGGGAAGTATTTCTGCAGGGAAAGGAAACCAAGAGAAATTTCCCTGGGGAGGAAAAGAGCACTAGAGGAATTCAGGATCACGCAGGAAAGAGTGATGTGAGAGAAAAAAAAAAAAAAGAAAATAGGAAACAAATCAACACAAAAAATACCCTGCCACCAAAAAAAGCACCAGGATTTGGCTGGGATCCATCTCAGGAAGTGGCTGTAAAGCTGAGTAACTTTGTCACAAATCAGGGGAGGACACAAAACGTGATGAGGGAGCTCTGAAAAAGCCTCATTCACCTATGGCAGGCTCCAAAATTTCCCCCTCTGCCACATGTGGGATCAATATCACACATGGGACAGGGAGATGGACAGTGAGGAGCAGCCTTGGCTGGGAGCTGGAGCAGCCTGGAGTGGGCCAGGCTTGGCCAGGGCTGCGCCAAAACTTCACTTTTTAGCTTAAATCCTGAAATAGCAAATTTTACAGCTCTGTTGGTGCAGCCCAGGGAAGAGACTGTGCATTGAAAATTCCTTCCTTCCTCCCATCTTTTGGGGGGAACTCTTCTGCCGTGGCATTTTGGTGTTGTGTCTATGGTGCTGTCCTTCAGCAGGTCTGGGAATGTGGGAGGGTGCTGCAGTTTCAGGATTCTTTTCATTTGAGGCTCTTGGACAGGGAACAACCTATTCCAGGGCAGAGCAGAGAGAGGGCAAGGAATCTTTTCCTTCCCTGGGAGGGTGGGCAGGCCCTGGCACAGGTTTTCCAGGGAAGCTGTGCCCTGGATCCCTGGCAGTGCCCAAGGCCAGGTTGGACACTGGGGCTTGGAGCAGCCTGGGACAGTGGAAGGTGTCCCTGCCATGGCAGGGGTGGCACTGGGTGGTTTCAATTCCATTCCAACCCAAACCATACCATGATTGTGTAACTTGTTGTTCCCACTGCATCTCACACCTAAACCAACCCCTGGTGCAGGATCTGGGTCTCCTGGGCATGGCAGAGCCATGGGGAGTGTGGAGAGCTGAGTGCCCTTGGGCCATCCCTGCCCTTGGACATAACTCTGGCCCTGCTCCTCCAGCCCAAACCCACCAGCTGGAGCTCCAGGGTGGGATGGTGGAGCCTTGGCTGTCCCCATCCCTGTGACCTCCAGGGCAGGAGGAGCTGTCAGCCCTGGGAATTGCTCCCAGGAGCAGCTCTCCAGGTAGGCTGAGCTGGGGGTGGGATGGGGATGTGCCTCCAACACTGGAGCAGAGATCCCAAATACCTCTGGCACAGCAGGGAAAATCGTTCTGACAGAGCAGGTGAAGTCTAAGGGGAGGTGTGCTTGAGAGAGAGAGGTTTACTGTTTTCAGAACAGACTTTGGGCTGGTTTTAAATCCATGTCCTGTCCAGGGACAGGCTTGGTGTGGGGGAATAAACTTTTGAGCATGTTTTAAATCCATGTCCTGTCCAGGGACAGGCTTGGTGTGGGGGAATGGACTTTGGACATGTTTTAAATCCATGTTCAGTCCAGGGACAGTCTTGGTGTGGGGGAATGGAGCCTCTTCCCTAAGGAACATGCACTTGCTGAAGGGTTTCCCTTTAGAGGCTGCACATTTTTGCCTCCCCCTGGCAGCAGTGCTGGCTTTGGGCTGGCCTGAGGAGCAGTTGCATGTACAGTCCTTCCCAGCCCCCACATTTCCTCCCGTTGTTCTTTTTCAGATCACTTGAAGGTTTTTTCCTGTTTATTATCCGGACATGCTGCGCTCTGTATGTTGATTTGACTGTCACATAAGGAATCTCCTACTGGGATCATGGATGCACTCCTTTCTTACATAAATATGTATCTGTGGCAATGGTTCAGGGCTGTGGAGGAGAAATGTTGGTGATTAAACCAAAACTGGAACGAGCTGCAGTTGTTAATGAGGGCTAAGTTTAATTACCCTTTCCCAGAAAACCTGCAAGAGTGTGATGAGTACAGTCACAAACAAAAATTCTCCTTAATTGACATAACAGGAAAAGTACTTCAGTGAGCAGTTATGCTGATGTCCTGGGCTGGCACATGTGTGTCCCACAAATATATCTTGTACTTCCTGCAAAATTCTTTTAAGTAGCTATAAGGAAGACATTATTTTTTTTTTCTTTTAGTTTTTTTTTTTTTTCCAGCAGTTGGCGAAAACTAATCACTGACTTGGAGGCTCTTTTTGAGGAAAACAATGGGACAAAACAATGCCTTTTTGTGAGACCTGCCAAAGCACAAAGGATGCATGGGATGTTTTTTTTCTTTGTTGCTTTTGTCAGCAGGAAGTTTTGTTGTTGGGAACGACTATAACATGCACTGTCCTTGCTCTACGTAATCTCTGTCTGGTCCTGTGAGCAGGATCCTGCTCCTGCCTCCTCCAGCTGGCACGGGCAGGGCTCTGCCTTGCCCCGGGGGCTCTGCCCAGCCCCGGTGTCCGCGCTCTCCCTCTCCATCCAGCCTGGTGCCCAGTAAACAAACCCAGGGGTCTGGTGCTCCAGTTGCTGGGGTCGTGCAGGTCAGGGCCCATGTTTAGAATGCTGACTTTGTGAATTACTTTCTTTTTTTATTTTTTTTTTCTTCCCTCAGACAGCTTAAAATTTAGGAGTGCTGTCCAGTGCAGGCAGCTTCAGAGCGTGGCACCCAGGTGTAAATATTGCAGACCTCGCCTTTGATGTGCTCAGGTCTGCTTTGTTTCCCTCTAGGTTGGTTGTAGGTCCGTCACAAAGAGCCAGATCCGACTGAGTAAATCACTTGTGGAAGTTAATTGTTCCCAGTGAAAGCTGGTCTGGCTCATTCTGCCTCTGTCGCAGGAAGGGACAGAGGTGGTGAGCTGGATCTGCGTTCTGAGCCCAGCGACTCTAATTCTGATCAGATGTCTCTCTTCAGGGCATTAAAGAAAACCTGCTCACTAATCAAAAAGAGCCTCTTCTCTAGAGAAAAGTAAGGAAAAAAAATATATATATTTAATGCCTTTTACAGAAATAAAGTACTGATATAAAATTTCAGCTTTGACAAATTTCTTTTGCAGGCTATCATAAAAGAAACCTACTTCTCCGTACTTGGCAGGCACCAGAATCAAAGAATGATTTTTTTTTTTTTCCTGGAAAAAGAAAAAAAAAATCAAATTGTTTGTGATGTCAGATACTGTACAGTGGTAACTTTATATTCCAGCTGTTTTCATTCCTTGCTGCCGTGTTTAGATGATGCTTGTGCTTCTCTCCATCAACATTTTCAAATACTCCTCGGGGTCAGCTCTGGCTTCATTAAGCAGCAGTTTTCTTTGTTTTCTTCCCTCCCCAGGACTGAAGCAGTGAGGATGGAGCCCACGAAGATCAACATGTCCCGCGTGGCCCTGGTCAACGGCGGCCTCGACGGCGCCATGCTCAAGGCGCACAAACCGCGCGTCATGTCCAAGAGCGGCCACAGCAACGTCAGGATCGACAAGGTCGACGGCATCTACCTGCTCTACCTGCAGGACCTGTGGACCACAGTCATCGACATGAAGTGGAGGTACAAGCTCACCCTGTTTGCTGCTACTTTTGTCATGACCTGGTTCCTCTTCGGGGTGATCTACTACGCCATCGCCTTCCTTCACGGCGACCTGGAGATGAACAAGTTCTCACCGAAGCGGGAGCCGTGCGTGAAGAACGTGGATTCCCTCACTGGGGCATTCCTCTTCTCCCTGGAGTCCCAGACAACCATTGGCTATGGATTTCGTTTCATCACCGAGGAGTGTCCCCACGCCATTTTCTTGCTTGTGGCCCAGCTGGTCATCACCACCCTGATTGAGATCTTCATCACTGGTACCTTTCTGGCCAAGATCGCCAGGCCAAAGAAAAGGGCAGAGACCATTAAATTCAGCCACTGTGCTGTCATCACCAAGCACAACGGGGAGCTGTGCCTGGTGATCAGAGTGGCAAACATGAGGAAGAGCCTCCTGATCCAGTGTCAGCTCTCTGGGAAGCTTCTCCAGACCTACGAAACCAAAGAAGGGGAGAGGATTCTGCTTAACCAAGCCAGCGTCAAATTCAACGTTGACTCCTCTTCGGAGAGCCCATTTCTCATTTTGCCTTTAACCTTCTACCACATTTTGGATGAAAGCAGCCCTCTGAGAGACCTCACACCTCAAAACCTCAAGGAGAAGGACTTTGAGCTCGTGGTGCTCCTGAATGCCACGGTGGAGTCCACCAGTGCTGTCTGCCAGAGCAGGACTTCCTACGTCCCCGAGGAGATCCACTGGGGCTACGAGTTCGTGCCTGTGGTTTCCCTCTCCCCAAATGGAAAGTACGTGGCGGATTTCAGTCAGTTTGAGAAGATCAGGAGAAGCACAGATTCTACTTTTTACAGTGTGGACTCTGAAAAGCAAAAGCTGGAGGAGAAATACAGGCAGGAGGACCAAAGAGACAGAGAACTGAGAACAATGTTGTTACAGCAGAGTAATGTTTGATTGGATGGACAAAGTATTCTGAATAATCCTTTTTCTGCAAACTGAAAAAAGAACTTTCTGTGCTGTATGTCTGCTGTGAAACCAGAAGTGAAGCCCTTTTCAGGATTATTTCCTTTTCAGTCCTATTTCAGCAAATAGCTTTGGTGTACAGTAAATCGACCCCTTTGGCTGAGTTGTTAATCAAGTATTTTGTAATTAGGCAGGATTTCTTTGTTCCTGATCGTGACTTAGCAAAACTGGGTTTGTGTTAAACCTCTGCCTGATGCCACCACTGAAAGCAGACACGCCACTTTCCGTTTGGAAAGTGAAACTGGACTCACTGTGCTGATTCCCTCAAATATTTATTTGACGTGGTTTTACTGTGAACGTGCAGGGGCAGCACACAGCACTGCTAGAGGATAACGTGCTCCTTTGAAATGTGTACCTTTAAAATGTAAATTCTCCTACCAGGGATCACCTGCGTGGGGATTCCTGGCACTGAAAGTAAGTTGATTGAAGAGACAGATGGTTGGATGTGGGAAGAGCTGCAGGGAGGGGTTAAACTCCTTAAATCTGGAAGGAATGTGACAGAGCAGTGCCGGGTGGTGGGGAGGAACACTTGCTCTCTGTCTCTGCTGCTCAGAGCTCGTTCTGTGATTGTTTTGGGATCACTCACTTTTCTTAACCTCGCTAATGCCTGATTTATATCTGATAGCAAAAAGGGGAGATGAGGGCAGGACACACACAGGATCACAACAGTAATCACCTAGGGTTGTAGCTGGCTTTGAGACACCAGATTTTTATCCAATGTAAATAGTTTGTAACAGCAGCATATAACAATACAATTCTACAGATTGCTTGCTTTGCTCCGGACCGTATTTAATTTTGGTTAAAAGAAAGCTGTGTAATGTCTGTAGACAATATTTACTTTTTCTGGCAGCCATAAAGGACAAGCATTCCTTTCATCCAAATCAATTTTGGTCTACTAAAACCATTCCATTAATAAATGAATTTAATTTGAGCAGTTCCTGATCTCTTTGTGGCATGGGGAGAGGGTGAGGTACCCCAGAGATGTTGAAAGAGCTGAATGCTTGAGGGAGGCATTTGGCTCTGGCACAGAGCCCTGGGAATTTTGCAGGTCACTGCAGTGGCCAGAGGACAGGTGACAAACCAGTGGTGTCCACGTAGCATCTCTGTTAGAGAGGCTTTTTTAATGGGAATTTGAAATTATTTCTGACTCACATCATTTTTGCAGCTCTCTGAGTTCTAGAGATTCTGCTCCTCTAAAGATTTGGCAAGGAAAAGCTGCTTTAAATGGGTCTGGTCTGAGAGCCACCAAGGCTGACAATGATGAGAAATGGGGGGGTTGGAACCAGATGATCTTTGAGGTCCTTCTCAACCCCAAGCCTTCTGTGTTTCTTTGACTTCTGGCATCATTGCACTTATTTTTCTTTACCAGTGGCCTGGTGGAATGCAGTGCTGCAGGCTGCCACACAATATCCTATAAAGCAAATAAATCCAGCCAGCTGAGCACAGAGGTGGCACCAGGGACGGATGTCAGGAAGAGAGGAGCACACACTGCAGGGGCCTGTGGGATATCTGTGAGTGAGGCAGGATGGTGGTGGTGAGGAGGGGAATGAGGCACTTACAACTGCTCATTTATGTGAATTTTTAGCTCTCCTGTGGGGGAAAGCATACACAGAATCATAGATCATGGAATGGTTTGGAAGTGGTCATCTTCCACTGTCCCAGGTGGCTCCAAGCCCCATCCAAGCTGGCCTTGGACTCTTCCAGGGATCCAGGGGCAGCCGCGGCTGCTCTGGGCAGCCTGGACAACATCCAAGTACTTGTTTGAGAAGATAAAATTCACTTAATCCACAGAGTTTCTCTACCCACCACAGAGTGAACAAATTCTCTCAACCCACTGTAGGCAGAGTCTGCCTGGCATCTGTGGAAAGAATTTCCAGGTTGTTTTATGCTGGGTGGTAACACAGCTTTGCAGTCCCATATAGAGGATGTAAGTGTTTAAATTATGGATTATTAATTTCAAATTTTCCATCACTTTTCCTGATTTCTTTTTTCAGCACACACATGAATTGTGTGTGCTCCAAGAACTTTTGCAGTCACTTCATCGATCTGAGGTTTGTGTCCTGCAGCTCAAAGATGCTTTGGGATGAAAGTGCACAGGTGTCTTAACTCCTCATCTGCCAAGCCCTAATACCCAAGTTTTGATAATCAAACAAACACCCCTATTAATTTTTTTACCCAGATAAGGACTCAGATAATTCCTAAAATAATTGTCACAGCTGTGTATTGACTATAAAACAGTTTCACCAACAGCAAACGAGCTGGTTCTTCTCCAGAAACATCTGATGGTGACCTGAACCCTTTGTACAACCAGTCCCAAAGTTCAGGCCCTGTGCTCCAGTCATCAGATTATCCTGGAAGGAAAAAGCATCTTAAAGCAAAATCTTTTAAAAGAAAGAAAAAAAAGAACCACAAAAATGGTTTTCTCTGGGCTTTGGGGTCTACAAGGGGAAGGGAAGGGAAGGGAAGGGAAGGGAAGGGAAGGGAAGGGAAGGGAAGGGAAGGGAAGGGAAGGGAAGGGAAGGAAAGGAAAGAGCTGTTTCTTTAGAAAAAGAAAGAATAAAGATATTTCTCTACAACTCCCTGACAGGAGGGGCAGTGTGTGTGGGGGGGGGGGGGGTGTGTCAAGCTCTGCTGCTGTGTCCCAAGGGAAGGAATGAGGGCTTAAACTCCTCCAGGGGAGGCTCAGGTTGGAGATTGGCAAAGAAAATTTCCCTGGCAGAGTGGTCAGGCCTTGGGCTGAGCTGCCCAGGGAGATTTGGAGTCACTGAATTGTCCCAGAGGAGTCTGGATGTGGCCTTGGGGACAGGGATTGGCGTGATGCTGGTGGGGCTGGATGATTTTAAGGTCTCTTCCAGTGTTGATAATTCTGTGAAAATTGGAAATCTTTTACAAAATCGAGACAAATCTCCATTAGCCAGTGAGAGACTGCACAGTAGTGTTATATACATACATAAAAATAATATTTATTGACTTCAGCTTGAGAAAACAGCCTTGCTCTGGAATGAGATGATCTTTTCCCTGCTGCTCTTGTGCAGGTGTAACTTCCACTGCCCTTTTCAAGCCCAGCAGGGCAGCAGTGGAGCAGGATGATCAGCAGCAGTGGGAAAATGTCAGGACACGTGGATCTGATAGGAACCAGCAGCAAATCACCACCTCTGACTGCTCCTCACCTCCTCAGCTCTGGGGATTTCCCCTGCCTGAGAAGGAACAGGATGTGGAGCCAAAAAACCAAAACTTTAGTGAGCATCCCAAAGCTGCCTCACCCACAAGCCAGGACTGTTGAATCAGAATTTCAAATTTCAGGGTCTAAAGAAAGCAGTGGAATCCCACTGCCCTGTGTGAACAAGAGCATGAATGTGTGTTAAAAGTAAATTATCCATTCCAGACACTGTTTAAAAGTCAGACTTTTTAAAAATCCAGTTATTTGCTTTTTAAAATTTTACTGAGGAATATGACATACTTACATTTCTTTTATTTATGAGCTATCAGTGAGCAGAGCATTTTTAGAGCAGCTTTATTGTTTGGACTTATAGCCCACAAATGAATGAGAACTTACTTCACCTCATGGACTGTCTCTGAATTATTTCTTTGGCTTCAATAATTCATTGTTCCCTTTTTATTTTTTAAAAGTTATTTATTTTTTCTTTGTAGGTAGGTGATTGAATGAGCATGGTTTCACTTCTGTTGCTTCCTTGCAGAAGATGAGTGTGCCAGAGTCAAATCCAGCATCCCTCACTTAATGTTTCACTTCATCTTCCAAAGGGATGACAATACCTGTGGGAAGCCAAGGATTTGACAGTGAAAACATGGTTTTTTAATTTTCTGACTGGAATTAGGAGGGAAAATGGCCATTAAGTGTAAAATATACTGGGGGAGGGGATGGGAAAACAGAGAAAAAAAACCCCAAATACACTTACACCCATCTATGTGACTGAAAATCTGCTACTTCCGAGGGTTAAAAAAACCCCAAAAATCAACTCCCAGATTTGCTGAGATGACTCAAAGCCCTGGGAAAAGTGAATGCAAGAACTGTATTTGAGCAAATGTTCCTGATGCCCTCAGAGTGTGTTTGCTCAGTGTCAGCCTGATGACAGCCTGAGCTTCTGAGGGAACAGGTAAGACTCTGTGATGACTGACAAATCCATCATGGGGAGGAGTTTAACAAAGCTCAGTGTGTGCTCCAGCTCTTGCTTATCCATTGTTTTTGTCCTGCTTGGCTGTGTCCTGCTCACCCTCCTAGTGCTGGAGTTAAGTGAATAATGGGAATAATCCTGGTGCTGGGGTTATGTGAATAATGGGAATAATCCTGGTGCTGGGATTATGTGAATAAAGAAACTTTCCCCTGCCTTGGCTGCTCAGCCTCCAGCAGAAATTCTCTGCAAATATGAGATTTCCAGAACAGAGCCCTTTCAGTGCCAAAGGTGCTGCCTGGACATCCTGTACCTCTGTGGCCTGACAGGAGCATTTCCAGTATGTCACACACATCCCCATTCAACTTTGTCCTGTGGCAGCATGTGGCACAGAGGGAAGGGAATTCCACCAGCAGCACAGCTTGCAGGGCCTTTTTGCTTCTCCTCCCAACATTTGCTTTTTAGACACATTCATGCTCTTGTGTACACAGGTACTGTAAAATCAGGGTGCCCTGACAAAGGCAGGAATGATGCATCTGACTCCATGTTCTCAGAAGGCTAATTTATTATTTTATGATCTATATTATATTAAAGAATACTAAACTAAAGAATACAGAAAAGGTACTGAATGCTAAAAAGATAATAATGAAGACTCATGATTCTTTCAGAGTCCTGACACAGCTTGGCCCTGATTGGCCAAAGAGTCAAAACAACTCACACAAGAATCCAATCAGAAGGCTAATTTATTACTTTATGATACTATATTATATTAAAGAATACAGAAAGGATATTTACTGAATG